AAAATCGCAGATTTTGGTCATAAATAGGGTAAGGGTTTTGGGAAGTAAGTTGCACACCCTTGAATACCGTCTAACTTGCTTAAGGCCTTTAACTTCTCCTAGCGTATAGGTCATCGGTGGGAGTCTTTTGACGTTCCCTGCCCTGCGCCACCATATCCTACTGTCTTCGTTGTAATAATGTTTTTATAGCATGTTCGTAAATGGTCCTTACGTCCCATGTCTCGATGTGTAGTGTGTCGTCAAGATAACATACGTTTATCGAGACATTTGAAGAAGATTGTTTGTGTAACATTAGGGTATTAGTATGCACAACGGACCTATATTTTCGTTTCGGTAACTTGTCACGTGCTTGAGTACAGCGGCGTATATCGCTGGCTACATATTATACTGCTGTCAGCCGCTGTTCTTCCACCATCTTTCTTTGTCGTGGTGTGGACTGAGTTTGTTAGTGCAAAAAATCATTATTTGTTGACCATTCAGCTCTCAGTTGATCTTTGGAAAGAATTAAGTACCTGTCTGAAGATATTTGTTGAATTTCTGGCCTAAGAGAGTTTTCTAAAGCCGAAAAATATTCATGAAAATACTTTGTTTACTTGTGGAAGCAGATTTCGAAGACAGCTGATGTGGATCTACAGATATCATGTCAAATGAGACTTTGTGGAGCGACCAATCTTCGGAACAAGACTCAACTCCCGCTCCCATCTTAGAGAGCACATTATTAGGAGGAGCAGACGACCATGTCATCGTTAAATTACTGACGACCAACAACACTGCTTCTTCGAATGGAAGCGAAGTTTTGACGAAGCTTCTTACGGGGTCCTCTACCCCGGCTGCGATAAGTGTTGGAACCACCATCTTAGTAACTAGTAACGTCCAGTCTCAAGGCCTGCGAAAAATCGAGCCCAAACCGGCAGATTCTGGAGAGGTCATTGAAAAGGTTGAAGCGGACAGCGATTCCAACGCGTATGGAAGGTGAGTGGTTGTGATGTTACATAACTTTTTGAAGTCACATTTAAGCTTAAGTCTTACCTGAAAACTAATTTAAATTGCTGCCTTTGTGCATTAAATATTGGATAAACCTTGATTTTAGTTTGGAATTAATTTCAGTCGACTGTTAATGAAACTTAAAAATTGCAAGTTATTACTGCTAAAAAAAGACTACTACCACAATCTGAAGATTTTTATAGCAGAGCTTTATCTGACCTTTGCAATTGCACACTTTATTAAAAACATGTGAGCTATTTCATACCACATGTTTCTTCTCAGCAGCCAGAGAGTATCTTGTGGTGGATAATTTTCAATATTTTTGTTGCCTGTCTGCTTATTAAATTATATATTATTGTTCTAAGGAGAAATCAGTTATTGAACACTTGTGAAAAATAATCAACTTAGGGGTAGTGAATCGTAAATGCAGGACTTGGCGAGAAGGCGAGACTAGAGTTTTTCTTTGGGTGTACGAGGTATTTTGATTTGTTCAATTGAGAGAACGAGACTTCAAAGTCTTTTAAATGCAAGCTTGAGACTTTCAAGTTCTAAGATGTTTAGACATCATTTAAGCTTACAAAAAAGCAAACATACTGGTACTTCTAGACTTTCTTAGCCTTGAAAAACAATTGAGACTGCGAGACACATATAACTGCAAAAAAAAAAAGCTGCAAGACACATGAAATCTGACAAAAATTTTGGGAGACCCATCGTTTTTTAATGACCTCTTGCCACCCCTCATATTGGCTGCTTTTGCTGTTGTGATAGGAATCTTATGCTTTAGCATTCCTTTTTCAGACTTTTGGGTATAAATGCTACAAGAAGAGGAGTCAAGACATGTCAACTCTGCATGAAGAAGATTGGTTATCGATCAAAACAGTGCAAGTTTTGTAGTCCCAGCAAGCAAAGAAAGAGATCAAGAAAATCTCAGCAAAATAAAGAATCCAGCAACGATGAGGAAAAAGGCACTGTCAGTATAGAGTTGGATACTATGAATGTCGATGTTGTAGTGATGGAAAGTGAAACTGAGATAGCCACATCTGAGATCTTGAACACTGCAGAAGATGCTTCAAAGCAAGTTGTGGAAGATTCTGAACTAGCTACAACAGCATCTTATGAAGAAGAATGCCAACAGAATATAGCATCTGTTGTTGATGGTGTAGAATCAGAACCAGCTCCACAAAATGACAGTGAACAAGTGATTGGGAAAAAGAATTACCACACAAGTCTGCAGGATTTAATCCACACTCTCCTTGTACAAAATCAAAACAGCAGTGTCTACATCGCACCAGACCATCAGGTGGAAGCTGATAAACTGGGTATGGAACAGCAAAATTGTAATTCACAGGGAGGACAAGATGGTGACGAAGAGATTGAACAGCAGCAAGAACAGACACAAGTATCCACTGGCCCACTGGGCAGTCCTGATAATGCTTATGACGCAAATTCTGTTGCATTGTTCTTGGGTCATCTTGCACAGCAGAATGGCAAGAAAATAAGAACTGCATTAAACCCAGTGACTGATAACACTCAGCCTGGCACAAGTTCGTCAAGTCTGATAGGAGTCAAAACAAAACATATTGTTATCGAGGATGACATGTCTAGCCAGGCAAAGTACAGGAAAATAAGACCAAAGTCATTTGATGAAGGCCAAGCTGTTCTAGAAATTCAGTCAAGTGTGGCATCAGCTGTTGAGGAAGAGATGGCTGACAGTGTTGTTGAAGTGAAGCCTACAGACTCCCAGCTAAGGTAGGGACTTTCAATAGCTAAGTTTTTATGGGTAGCCTGATTGTGAGTTTGAGGCAATGTAGATAATGCAGACAATAGAAATGATCTAAGAATAATTTTGAAGGAAATACTTATAATTTTATTTTCATTTGCAATTACTTATCAAGTGAATTCAAAATATGTTGGTTGTGTGGTGTATGGACTGAGTTTTTTTGGTGGGGAATCTTAGATGCTATCATTGAATCTGCAAGCCATCTTCGAAACGTTAGGTTTGATTTCTGCCACTCTCTGGAGTCCGGTCTACCTTCCTCCTCAAGAGAGTCAGCTGGACTTGCTATTATCACTTGTCCAGCTGTGATCTTCAAGGGAGGAGCGTGGGCTCCTTTTTCGAACAGTGACTAGTAATCTCAACTTGGGAGTAGCTAGACTTGTATTCCCTTCCTCTGTCAGACTTTTACCTTAGCCCTTAAGCAAAACTACCAAAGAGTAGATTTGGCTTTTCTTTGACACATTAGTCACTGGAGTGGTAATCCATGAATACGTTCTCTGTTTAGAATGCTTCCTGGAAATGCTACCAGAAGAGGAGTGATGCCTTGCCAGAAGTGTCAGTGTCTTATTGGCTGCCGCTCTAAAGTATGCAAGCACTGCAAGTTTCTGTTAAACGAGTCTAATCCTCCATTCAAACGGAACAGGAAGCATTTGCGACAAGCAATTCAGCTTCACATCCCATCAAACTCAACAGTGTCTGTGTTCTCTGTAAGAAGAAGCAAGGCTGGACCAGATCACAGGTGCTTTGTTTGGTGCGAAAGAAATGACCCAGAAAACAGAATGCGAGATGTTTATTCATGTGACTACCCTCCCTGTGTAACAGCAAGGGAACTGGGTAACAAGCCTATGTCCTTCTTATGTGAACACGCAAAGATTTCCCGTACTCAGGGATTGACAAATAATTCAATAGTGCTTGAACTCAATGAAGAGAAGTTAACAAGTGAATATTTCTCTGAGGAGGTGTGCAACTCATTAAAGGAATTGAACAGGCAATGCAATAGCAAAAGTGTTCCTCTCGTGCAAGGCGTGTCAGACAGGACTTTTGTTGTTGTTGATCAACTTCACACAGATCAGGGCAGTAGCCTAGCAACTGATCTCATTGGGTTTGTCCATGTGCGATTTGAAAGAACCAAAGTCAGTGGCTCTTGGCAGACTCAAGTGTTTTGCTCCGGGAGACCTTGTACAGCCTGGAACCCTATCTTCAGTTGTGTCACCAATAAGAACACATCTCTTCCAACTGTGCTGCGATCAGTGAACTGTATTCACTACTCAGCGTGTCTGTGGGGGATAATCTCTGATGAGAAACTTGTGCAGGAATTTGAACCATATCTCGAAGGTGCTAAAGCTAAAGTAAATAGTGATGTTCCTTGAACATCCATACCTTTTACATGTGCATGTAAATTGCTTTTCAAAGGGTTTGTGCATAGTGTCTGGAAACAGCATGGTAGTATGACATGTTTTTCCAGACAGCTTTGTCCAATCTTCAGCATGTCTTAGGTCTGTGAATTAACCTTTTCCTCTCTGAAAGCCTTGAGTCATGTGTAGTTAGTTGGGTTTTTCCAATGTTCAACTCTATCAGTTGTGGTATATTGTGAAGTAACGCACTCTAGACTTGAATCATGTACCTTTTAATGTTGTAATTTTCTAAAAAGAATACTCTGAGAGAAAAGTGAAACATATTGGCAGTAACATTTGGAGAGAAAGTGCAGGTTGTTGTCGGCTATTTATGACTTTGTGATTTATTGACAACTTTGGGTGAGAATAAATAGGCCAGGCCACTTTTATTATTGTTCATGTTTGGAACGTTTTGTTTTGTAAATCAATTAGCAACAAGCCAAAGCTATATTGTGGAGTTAAAGACTCCGGACTTAAGTCTTGTATCTTTTAATGTTGTAATTTTCTAAAAAGAATGCTCTAAGAGAAAAACGAAACATTTCATCAGTAATATCTGGAGAGAAAGTGTAGGTAGTTGTCAGCTATTTATGACTTTGTGATTTATTGACAACTTTGGATGAGAATAAATAGGCCAGGCTGCTTTTATTTCTGTTCATGTTTGAAACAGGCCTGTTCAGTTTGAACAGGCTGCTTTTATTACTGTTCATGTTTGTAAATTTCCTCTTCACACTGTCTGCATGTTGTGGTTGTATTGTCTGGTACTGTTGTATTTTTGGTAGACTACTGATAATAATTATCTAGTGTTACAATGAGAAATTTGTTCAGCAACAAAACCAGTTCATCTC